ACCAGCCTGGGCAATGTCGTGAGATCCGATCTCAAGACAGAAAGAGTGAAATTCTGGCGGTCTCGGGCATCACACGTGATATAAGACACAAGACCACCACCCTTGTACCTCAGGTTCCTCTTCCTCACAAGAAGGGTAAGAACAGTAACGTCAGTAATGGCCAGTGGCAACTGAGCTCTGACTGTGGGCTGAGGACAGGGCACCACGTGATGCCCACTGGACAGGCAAGGCAGCTGAGGTGCAGAGTGGCCACAATTGCACAGGGAGGCCACAGGCTGGGAACATGCACTTTGCTGTCTCAGGAGGCACTCCTGGGACAAAGAGCAGAACCACACCAGGCACAGAAGGCACGAGATGAGCCAGGGACATCTTGTGCAAGGTGGGAAGTATTCAAAGAATGTCAGAGACGTATGGGGACATGAGTGCAACCTGCAGGGCTCCCACTGCCAAAGAACAATCAGAGCCCACAAAATGTGTGGAAGGCCCAGGTGGGGCCGATGGTGACCAGGACATGGCTACTCTCCACTTTGTGTGCTTGTGAAACTGTCTCAAGAGAAAAGTTCCAGAAAAGAGTATCTGTACAGGGTGCTGGTGGCTCACGCCTGTAATCCTTGGGAGGCAGAGATCGGGAGGATCGCAGTTCGAAGCCAGGCCCAGACAAACAGTTCGAGAGACTCTATCTTGGGGGTGAGGTGGGAGAGAAAAAGTTCAAAGTGATACTACAGCAACCAGACAAAATAATAAAAAAGAAAAAAACCAAAGATTTCATCACTGTCCCTCGTAAGACACAGCAGAATCACAACACAATTAACAGTTACCCCTCAGTGATCCACAAGGAACAGCAGATCCAGTAGGATCACAGCCCCTTATTCGTGCCCTGACTGGAGGGATCTGGGGGGGGGACTTCCTTAGAGGGGACCTCAGGCTTGTCCTCGGCAGGGATAGCTGGACCAGTGCATACAAAATTCTGGGAAGGCACACCCCAACACGGTGGTGGGAAAACACTAGCCAGACCCAGATGTGGCAGGGTGGGGGTGGTACCTGTATGAGACCACTGGCTTGGCGCCATCAGAAGGTCACAAAGGGCAGAAGGCCTGTCTGAGTTTAAGGATCCCAGGGACCTGGCGGCCAAGCACAAGTGGGCACACTGATGGTGACAGCAACTCTGGCAGATGTCTCTATGCTATGGGTCACATGTCACCCTGGCCAGATTTCTAGAGTCAGGAAAAGAATGTCCCTGTATAGTGCAGGAGATGAGAGAGAGGGGAAGAGAGAGAGAGAAAGGGAGGGAGGATAGAGGAAGATAGAAATGGAGGGATGTGGGCAAAGAGCAGGGGACCTAGCCCAGTCCTGGGCCTTGCTGGGGTTGTGGAGAGAGTCCAGCTCATCGAGGCATCTTAAGTTTCAAGGTGAGCCCACTGGTGAGGACAAGGATGTCACGGTCGGGGCAGTGTGAGAAGGACAGCTGCCTCTTGTCTTAGGGCTGGGGTGCTGAGGCCCAGGGGAAGACAGGCACACCAGGGCTCCCGCACATGAGGGGTGGCACTTGTCTCAGGCCCTGACTCCCCCACTCCCCCACTCCCCCAGCCCACCCCAAGCCAGGTGACCCACATGGCGAAGCTGTGGTTGTCATGGGCCTGGCTGGCCTGGCTCCCCAGCTTGCCACCAGCACCGCCACTGCTGCTGTTGTTGTGGTTATGACCCTTGAGGCCTAGGTACGCAGCCTGCACCGTCTCCAGGTCCTCGCCTCTCAGCTGGTACCACAGCTGGGCCGTCCTGGGGGAGAGAGCCCAGAATGAAAGACATTAAGCAGGTACTGCAGTGTCCCCGATGGCAGCCCACAGGCAGAAGGAGCCTCTGCACACACTCTCCCAGCATGTCCTCGGGCAGAGAGGCAGCTGACGAACTCTGCAGGAGCCACACAGGGGATACTTTCATGGGTGGCACAGCTTCTCCAGCAAGTAAACTCAGCCACCACTACTCAAAAGTAGCCAAGTACAGTAATAGCCAAGGCACATGGCTGTGTTCTGATGAGAGGCGACTTGGTAAGTGCTGGCCGCGGATGGTCACTCAACATAGTGCCACTGAATGGCCCACTCAAAGATGGCTGAAATGGTCAGTTTTGTGTTATATTTTACCACGAGATGATACAAATGAGAAGAGAATAAATCACTACAGGGATAAACCTTTGGTGAGCAGGCCATGCGTCCCCTATGGGCTGCAGTTAACCCACCCTGTCTGTGGGGACGGTGACACCCCCCTGAGGTGTCAGTAACACAGCGGAGTGTGTCGTGTATGCCCCGGTTTAAGAATAAGAATCCCTGTGTTCCCACAGCTGGCTAAGAGCCTCAGAAGCCCAAGAGCCCCACACAGGGGACCCACAGACATGGCCCCAGGGGAGTGGGGCAGGGAGGAGCACCCCAGGGCTGCCGTACCTGCTGGAGCGCCGCTGCTCACTTCTCTTCACACACTTAAGCAGACAGCAGGTGAGGAAGGCCACGGACATGAGCAGGATGATGGCGCAGCTCACGATGGACGCGATTACGGCCACCTTGAAGCCGAAGGTCTCGTGTGGTGGCACAGCTGTGAGAGACAACCACCAGCTCCAAACCTGCCGGACCCGAGGGCTGGGGGAGGATGGCAGCGGGCAGGCCCTCAGTAAGCTCCACTCTAAGGAAGACGCAGTGAACACTGGTGGCTAAGGCCTGTGTGGACTACAACTAAGGGAGCCAACCAGGGAAAAGTTTCTCCAAGAAGGGGGCACTTGGGTGGGGTTTTGTAGGTGTGTAGGAGTTTGTAGGTGGTAGATTGGAGCAGCTCTGACAAGATCAGAGTGATGGCCTTCCTGGCTCCCAGCCACTGCAGCCCTGACTGCAGAGCAGCACGCTGGGCTGTGGACAGATGCGGGTGGATGCACTGTGGGTGGGAACTGGCCCAGCCCACTGAGTTTTCACAAAGCCCAAGCAGGCAAAACTCTTCAGGGTCTTCTCAGGTCACCTTCCAGGAAAGAGCCAGAGCAAGGGGTGTGGAAAGGCATTCTCACAGCTGCGACCTCAGCTGTGCACCAAGAATCAGCAGATTCTGAGGTTCGTTCTTGGATAAGAAGTCCTGAAGACCCTAAGCTTAAGGCTGTGTGCTCTTCCCCCATGGTGGGCACAGCTCCTGCCCCCTGCTCTCCAGCTGGACACTGACCATCCAGAATGAAGAGGCCTGCAGCGTAACAGGACTGTGTTCTAGTCAATGGCAGACAGGAACAGTGACACGGGACAACTTTTAAGAACCTTCCCTGAGTTGAGGTGTGCCCTTTGCCCCTAGGGCCCCACCCCATAACCCCTGACTAGAACAAAGGCCACCACCTTGGGTAAGTCATGATGTTGAGGTCAGACTCAACACAGCCAGGGCAGGGGCCTGGGTCCCACTGTCATGGAGAATGCTACAAACCTGGTTACTCACCCTGAAGGGAAAAATGCCACCTTGGTTAAGCCTGCCATTTTGGGTTTTCTGTCTCTTAGAACCTAGTCCTAACAAACACCTCATTCTCAGAGATGCATCCAGCACATGAGTGTGTAAAGGCTCTGTCTGAGAAGTCCTGCAGCGTATATGCCCGGCCTCTGCCAAGCTATTTGAACTTTGGAGTCGCTTTTATGCACAAAACACATTACTGTAATGCACAGGGCTTCACTCTGGAAAATGGGGTCTTATGACCCCTCAATAGTCTTGATAACAAATACAACCAGAAAACAGCCCCTCCCTTGGGACCGGAAGCTCCATCGTTGGGCACAACCTGACCCTCCGGGTCTCCAGTGCCTAGAATCCTTGGCACATGGAATCAGGATTGGGAGGGAGCGAGGGAGGGGAAGGAAGAAAGATAGGAAATCCAGTCCACACTAAGATGCAGAGCCCTCGGCCTAAGCAGGCCACTGTCAGGCAGCAACAAGTTGCCAGTTATTGGGAGTGGGACACGCGAATCCTGGTGAGGCAGGGCTCAGGACCTCCCACCCAGCAGCCACTGAGCCAGGGCAGCTCAGGAGAGGGCCTTACACTTGCACACAGGGGTCCCTGAAGACCAGTGAGCGATGCTTCCCTTCCAGGCACAGGTGAGGAGGCCAGACCCCATCATCTGGTGGCCAGAGGGGCAGTGGAAAATGAGCACAGTTCCCACGGAGGTGCCATCACCACGGAGGACTTGCAAAGTGCCCCTCGGGGGCGGCTGCAGCCGAGCGCAGGTGTCTGGGGAGAGAGAGGGAGAGAGAGGCAAAGAGGCGGTAAGGCTCAGGGCAGGGCCCAGCATGGGTGAAGCGGGTGGCGGGGGACTCTCCCAAGGCCACAGGATGCTCTGGAGAAGGTCCCAGGGAGCCATCCCGATGCTGGGACAAAGCAGAGCAGGATCCTACATTAACTAAAATCTAGATGTTCTGGGTGGGGGTGTGGCTCAAGAGGCAGAGTGCCTGCCTAGCAAGAGTAAGGCCCTGAGTTCAAATCCTACTGCTGCAAAAAAAGAAAAAGAAACAAGCATTGGAAGAAAATAAACACAAATATTTATTACCTGTGCATAGCTTCAAAGGCAGGAAGAAAGGGAAAAAGAGAGTAACAGATCTGACTGCATGAAAAGTAAAAGGCAAACTTTCTACTCTCTAATAATTGAAAAACACCAACTCAAGTAAAAAAAATAGTTGGAAAACTGGACGAAGGTTCAATATCTTTAATTTGTAAAGATCTTACACATCAATAAGAACTGAACATACAATTTTTTTTTTTTTGGTGGGACTGGGGTTTGAACTCAGGGCTTCGCACTGGCAAAGCAGGCGCTCTACCTCTTGAGCCACACCTCCAGTCCATTTTGTCCAGGTTATTTTGGAGATAGGGTATCGAAAACTATTTGCCTGGGCTGGCCTCAAACCTTGATCCTTCCAATCTCAGTTTCCCAAGTATCTAGGATTATAGGTGTGAGCCACTGGCACCCAGCTTATAATTTTTTTTAAAGAAAAAACAAAAATAAACTAATGTGTGAACAAGCAATTCACAAGAGATACAAATGGCGAGGAATACATGCTCATACACAACAGCAATGCAAGAAACGCTAAAGGAAAGGAAAGTCGATCTTTCCCTTATCAGTGTAGCTAAGATTAAAAGCAAAAACGGGCTGAGGTACAGCTCAGTGGTACAGTGCTTGCCTAGCATGTACAAGGCCCTGGGTTCCATCCCCAGCACCACCACAAAATAATGTCATAAATAAAAAGAAAAACCGGTACTGTATGTAAAGGCAAAAACAGAGAAGCGACTCTTTCTGGACATGGGTGGGTCGAGATCCAAGCCTCCTGGATGGAGCATGGCCAATGTACTAGGGCCTTGTGTTGTACAGCGCATGAGAATTTCAGAGGAAGTAAGAATGTGCCATCATGGTTCCTGTCCTAGGATGCTCCTCTCAGAGCCATATAGAATAGGAAACATTAGAACCCATCCTGTGTCTCCAGCAGTCAGCCCTGATTTACCAGTCAACATATAAACATCCTACAAGTGCACCAAAGTGCTCTAACTCAGTTACAATGCTATGGTCCTTTCATAAGGACAGAAAGCTGGGCACAATGGTGCACACCTGAGTTCCAGCTATACCAAAGACTGAGGCAGGAGGATTTCTTCAGTCTAGGAGCTCAAGGCCAGCCTGGGCAACGTAGGGACAACAACAAAAAATGTGTGCATGGGGACTATGCCTGTAATCCCAGAAACTCAGGAGGCAGAGCTCCTGAGAACACAGTCCAACGCCAACCCAGGCAAAAAGTTAACAAGGCCCCCATCTCAACAAATAAGCCAGGCATGGTGACTCCATGCTTGTAATCCCAGCTACATGGGAGGCATAGGTAGGTGCCCTTAGTCGGGCTTCTCCAGCTTGGCACAATGCATGAGGTCCTCATGCTCTGCGCACAGCCACTTCTGGCTTCCTGAGACAGCAGTGCCAGGCTCCATTGTGTGACAGCCCTCAGTCTTTTCACTGCTCCCTGCTGGCGGCCTGCAGTTTTCTCTGTGTTAGAGAAGACACAGTGAACCTGCGAAGGCTATCTCAATGCCCGGATGTACGCAGCTCTTCCGTTTTCCAAATAGTAGCTGACACTGCCCGAGTAGCACTAATGCATCAAGCATGGGGACAGGAATGGCAGTAGTTACTGGTGCCCGGAAAGATGGACCATCAGACACCTGTGATAAGACCACCTGAGTGCCTTTGTGCCTGCTTGCTTCCCTCCAACGGAAGGACAGAGATCCAGAGATGGGGCAGATGGGCATGGAAGCTGGGGCCCGCAGAGTCTGATGGACCCCGTATTCCATCTCTGATCTTCCTGTCCTCTGCATTGATGCCTCTAGCTAGGACTGTCCCCCCAGGTGCCATGCACAGATGCCTCACTCTCACTGAGCCTGCTGTGACTCGGCCAAGCTTCTGAGTGTCCCAGCCTTGTCACGTGGCCTCTCCCATTCTAACTTTCTTTTTCTTTAGCAGACTCACCATCATTCAGTTAGTTGCTGGGGTCCCAAACCTATCTGACTTCCTTTTCTCAATCCACAACCAATTTGCCAACAAACTCCATGGGCTTTAATTTTAAAATGCGTGTGGAAGATGCCTACAGCACGCTGAACAGTGTCCCCTAGATATCTGCAGAAGGATGAACATTGTCCCCTAAATTATCATTATGAAGTTATTCATGTCCACCTGGGGGTGGCCATGTGGGCCAACTACGTATCTCCACATCTGAACTCACCTGCTGTCTAGAAATGAAACCCAGGCTCAGAGAACTCAGGCCATACCTTACTCTGACCATGCCCTTCTTAGGTTTAGCTGTTCCATCCAGCTAACCCTGGGCAGCCTCAACCCTAGTTCCCCTCCCTGTCCTCCGGAATTCCTTCTCTTCAACCTAGAGCTGCAGGTGGGGACAAGACCACCATAGAAAACTACATTTCCCAGCATGCCCTGCAGCTGGGAGCAGCCATGTGACCATACCTGGCCAACGGAATATGAGCATGGGAGGCAGGAGCCACTTCCAGGCTTGGCAGCAAAGATGGTGGATGTGTGGAAGGGTTGACCATCCTTTCTAATTCTAATAAAAGACAGAAATAAGTTCTGGTTGGAGTTAAGCCACCATCTTTGTGGATTTCTTTGGTAAATGGACTGACTAAAACCAGATAAACACTACAGACATAATTAAGCCCAATGCCTGGCTCATCCAGGACTCTGAGGTGACAATAATTAAATCAGAATAATGCCCAGATCACACTCCATACAGGAGCCTGTGCTGAGAACTTCAACAGCTATGGACGTGAGCACATGGACTCCAGCCTCTTGGGCTGTGTCCCCTATAGTCACATAGGTGGGTGCCCAGACAAGGAAGTTCCGGACCTCAGTGTCAGCACAGCTGCTGTGCCCACCTCAGGACGATGTGAGGACAAATCAAGGTGAAATGCCAAAGCACTGGAAGATGCCTGGCACACCAGGAACCACAGTTGAGCTTTGGAAATAAGAAATACCACCCCAACTTGCATCTCTAGACACTGAGGCCACACAGCCAGTCAGTGAGTAGTTTAGCGAGGGGTCAACCACGGTACTTGGTTCTTCATCCCCTGGTATCCCTCTCTTCATTGTCTAGGAAAAGAAGGGAAAGCCAGCCTCATGCCTGGGAGGGACCAATCTGATGGCTACCTGCTCATCATTACAACAATAATAATGCACGTCATCACAGAATACTCTGTTCAAAAGAAACACACATTCCTTGCCTAGGACAGCAGCTGCAATAATCCCAAGTGACACCAAGGAAGAAACCCTTATTATTACAGAGTGGGGAACCAAGGCTCAGAGGCTGACCTACCCAATAGCACTGACAGAGAGTCAGGAGCTAGTCCTGGAGCCAGGGTTTACAACAGCTAACTGAGAAGCAGAACAAGAAGTGGGAGGTAAGGATGCAATATCCATGTAAGGGGGTAGGGGTGTGTCTCTGATAGACAAGCTGCACATATATTATTAAAACAGTGGCAAAAATCACAATCTAAACCACAACAACAAAAGGAAAGACCAGAAAAGAAAATCAGAGTTCAAAAACCAGGAAGCAAGCCAGGTACCGGTGGCTCACACTTGTAATCCTAGCTACTCAGGAAGCAGAAAGCAGGAGGATCGTGGTTCAATGTCAGCCCAGGCAAATAGTTCAAGAGACCCTATCTCGAAAATACCTAACACAAAAAGGGCTGGTGGAGTGGCTCAAGGTGTAGATCCTAAGTTCAAGCCCCAGTACCACAAAACAAACAAACAAACAAAAACAGGAAGCAGAGCAAAAGGTAACCCGACCAGAAAGAAGATGTCTAATACAGGACATGATTTTGTATATAGAAAATCCTCAGAAGTCCACTAAAAACTTTAAAAACTAATTAAGTTCAGCAACATCGGAGGATACAAGGTAAACATACAAAAATCAGTTGTGTTTCTATACGGTAGCAATACTAAGCAAATTGAAAATAAAATGAAGAAAACAATTCCATTTCAACAGCTTCAAAAATAATAAATCCGCAGAAATAAATTTAACAAAAGACGCGTAAAACTTGTACTCTGAAACTGAGAAGCATTACTGAAAGAAATTAAAGATCTAGGTGTCTTTACTGCCATTTCTTGCAAGGGTAGTAGGAGGTATTTCTCTCCTCCCCACTTCTCCCTACCTTATCCTGTTATACTAAAATAAGTCCTTGTTAAAACTTCAAAACACAAAAAGAAATTAAGTATCTAAAGAAATGGGGAAGCATTCCATGCTCACGGATCAGAAGACTTAATATTACTTAAATGGTAATATACTCCAGTGATCTACACATTCCACATAACACCTGTCAAAATCTCAGCTGCCTTCTTTGTGGAAACTGACTAGCTGATCTTAAAATTCCTATAGACACAACAAAGATCTCTGAATAGCCACAACAATTTTTAAAAGAAAAGCAAAGCCAGAAAACTCACTTCCAAACTTCCAGCAAAGCTACAATAATAGAAACAGCATGGTACTGGCATAGGACAAACATATAGAGCAATGAGACAGGATTAAGAGTCCACAAGTAGCCAGGTGTGGTGGCTCATGCCTGTAATCCTAGCTACTTAGGAGGTAGAGATCAGGAGGATCTCAGTTTGAAGCCAGCCTGGGCAAAGAGTTTGTGAGACCCTATCTCGAAAATACCCAACACAAAAAAGGGCTGGTGGAGTGTCTCAAGTGTAG